ATTACAGTTAATAGACATATATTCATTCTCTGAATATAAATTCACTGGCAACTATTACTGTATTAACTGCGAGCTTCTTGACTGACCCAAAAAGACAGGCTAGGGCAGTGGTTCTCAAACTTCAGCATGCATCAAAATCACGTAAAAGAGAAGAATTAGAGAAAATAAATATAAACAGCTCTTTCAAAAGTCATGGATCAGAAGAAAAAATGAAGGGAGTAGAAGAGTCAACTCCTGTCTATTACATACATTATCTATATCAACGGGGAAAAGTGGAGCTCATTAAAGCACAAAGAGGGAAAAAAACCTGGATATAGGCTGAAATTATAAGAAACAGGTGGAAAAACTGATAGACAAAATCCATGAGTAGGTAAAAAAGGGGATAGAATAAGAGCAAGGATCTCTTTTGTCAGGAAACAGGAGGTTTTTTTTCTCTGTAATACAAGGGGTGGTGGAAAATCAGCTATGATCACAAACGTAAGAGAGAAGGGTGAGAAAATAAGTGAGTGCTTCCATTCTGGGAAATGAGAGGAGAAACCATTGGCTGAGAATGAGATGGTAAGAGGTGATTAAGGTCTTTAATACAGCAAAAAGTTTGAAAGAATTGTTTAGTATATCTTCCCAGAGGCCTGAATAATATTCTATTGTTAACAGTTATCATACTATATAAGATAGTAAATATTGTATATTTTGCTAAACTGTGTGCATAGACGTAACTGTACTAATCAGCATTTCAAAATGCTGTATTTTACTTTAAAAAGGACTAAGTATATCCTATCAAAATAATGTTTTGTAACTATGCTGGCCAATATGGTAGCTAGCCACTGGTCACATATGGCTATTTAACTAAAATTTAAATTAATTAAAATTGAATAAAATTTTATATTCAGTTCCCCAGTCACACTAGCCACATTTCATGTCCTCAACAGACACATGTGGCTGGGCTACTATATTTACTGGACAACACAGATACAGAACACTTTCATCATCACATATGATGTCTACCGGATGTCTATCAGACAGAATGGGCCTATACCAATGGTAATTAGTACATAAAAGAGATGTTAGCAAGAGAGGCTGATATCATCTGAAAAATGATTAGACTAAATACTGTAAATACAATCTACATAGCAATAGTGTTCAAAAACCCTATGAGTTATCAACTTTTAATAGTAGTGATACATTAAACACCACAATATTTCTAATGTCAGAGAACTAATTTTGGGTTAATTCATTTATCAATTGATAAAATAATCAGGCAAATGTATTAACATGTGAAAACTAAGAATAGGGAATTAATAAAAAGTACAGCCAATATACTCATTCTTTGATTATAAACTTACTGAGTACCTATGCATATGACAGAGAATATTTTAAACACACATATGCACATGCACGCACATAGAACATAATAGCTAGTAACTAAATTTCTAAGACCCTGAAATTTAATAACCTTGATGTAGTTTCAATATATCAATAAATCAATTGAATTCATAATATCTAAAAACTCAGTGAAGGGATAAGGTCTCAGGATATTTTTTAACTTCAAAAAAAATTCAAAGAAAAAGATAACAGCAGATCACATCAATAACTAGTTAAACATGAAAGACTGAACTAGAAAAACCAGTGAAGAAACAGAAAAGTTGTAAATCCAGAAAGAAACAAAGAATTCCAGAGGAGTCAACAAAAGCAGAGCAGAGATGTGAACCCATTTTTTGAAGATGGAAAGCAGGCTTAGCAAAGCAGAGGAAGCTGAAACCTAAGATCTTGAGAAGAAAGCCAATGTCTTTGTATCACAAAAACTAGGAAGATTTCAAAACTGAAGGAACCAAGAAGCAAAGAAAGCAGAGGTGAGATATATGACTGCAAAGAGAAGTGCTGGGTGTGGTTATGGCGCCAGCCACATACACTGAGGGTGGTGGGTTTGAACCAGGCCCGGGCCAGCTAAACAACTGCAACCAAAAAAAAAAAAAAAATAGCTAGGCATTGTAACTGGCGCCTGTAGTCCCTAGTCTAGTGGGAAATAGACGTTTAGTCCTTAGAGAAACTGAACCAGAGAGGCTCCTGACTCAGGGACTCAAGAACAGCCAGAAGGCATGGGGTGAGGCATCACACTGAAAAGAGGAAACAGAATGGCAAAAAACATACTGAGGGAAGAGATCCCCAGCAACATTGTCTCTCTAGGCTCTCAAACACAGGATATCCCCCAGGACCTCTCTCTGGAGAAATACCTATTTCTCTATCTACTGGGAGTGAGAGTAGGGATAATGACTAACAAAAATGGCAGCTGAATGTGTAATCAGTAAGTCTACAGTGATATCCACTGTCAAAAAATCCAGAGAGCAGGAGACAATTTCAAATAAAATTATGATGGCCAGTATTTATTGAGCACTTATATCAGGTACTTGCGTAAGGACTTTACCTATAAGGTAGGTATAATAAATATTCCTATTTAAGGATGAGAAAACAGAAGCCTGGAGAGTTTAAGGAATATGCTCAAGGCATATAGGAAGGAAGAGAGAGGTATGAAGGAAAGAAGGGAATGAGGAAAGAACTAAGGAAGGAAAAGAAAAATAGGAAGGAAAGAAAAAGGAAGGCCATTATGAGCCTGATATACAACTGGAAGACAATAATTATCAGCTGAATAAATGAATGAACATATGAAAATTTAAACTATAAAACTGTCTAGTTTTACTCATATGTGAATTTTTGAAAATGAAGCAACAGAAATTTCTGATAATAAAAGCATAGGGAAAAAAAGCTGTTAAGTTAAAATTCAAAACACAATTTATATTCAACCACTAGCTGGGGTATAAATCAATGTGACCTTTTTAGGGCACTTTGGTAAGGTCTACCAAAATTCTAAATGTACATGTGCTTTGGCTCCAAAATCTTATTGCTACAAATTTTTTTTAATAATTTTAAACATATCTGTATAAAATTACATAATAAACATGTAAAGATATTCACATCTAAACCCTATTTATAAAGGCAAAATAATTCTAACAATAGCTGAATGCTCAATGATAAGAGACAATTATTAAGTAAATTGTGGGAGTCATGAAGGAATATTGGTACTCCTGAAAAAATGGGGTTGCTCCTCAACTGGACTTCTTACACTAAATCTCCAAAGACAGTTCTTATCTGGAACCCCCTATAAGGAAGTTGTATGTAGGAGTAGGAGTATGTCACTCCTACTGAATGACATAAAGCAATGTATACCAAATGCAGAATTGCTTCTTGCATGGCTGTTTCTTCTAAAAGCATAGAGCAAAACATTAAAACATAGTCCAAAAAGGTCTGCAAAAGGCTAATTTATTTGGTTCACTATGTAGCTTCACCATGTGCTAACTTGTCCGAATGATACAACTTTGAATATTTAGAAAAATGAATTAAGGCCAATTGCAGTAGCTACTTGCTACTGCACTTTG